ATATTCAGCCAGTTCAACAGAAACGACCAATCAGAGCCAGAAGGCGGGTCTTAGCGCTGTCAATCATAGCAGAGTGCACACTGCTCACTCCCTTCCCTCACCTCGTTACCATGGCCGTCTATGACAGCAGATTAACGGTTTTCCTGTAACGCTGAGTTGTTTCTCTGCCAATAGCACATTTAGCAGCCCATTCATGAGGTTGATTGGCAGCGCTATGCCCCTCCTTCTGGCTCTGATTGTCACAACATGGTGACAGTTTCAACAATTATGTAAAAAAAACATATTTTTCATAAAAGTTGCAAAGCATGGGTACAAACAGGTCTCTGGAATGAACAATGAACCTAACCCAGGGGTGTTCAACATGCGGCCCGGGGGCCATTTGTGGCCCTTGAACTGATTGTTTGTGGCCCTCTGACATGATTCAACTTTGTCCCATCCAGTGGTTGATGCAGATGACTGTTTTCAATCAGGCTAAAACTATTAACGACATAATTTTCCTACAATGGAAACTGTTGAGTGCAACATAAAGTATTAATCTTTTTATATAAAAGCTTTTATGAGCAGAACTACATTTATGCCGAGACTTTTACTGAAAAGCTGACTTTGCCTCACAAAAATCATCAGCTTTTATTTAATTTATTAAATTTGGCTAAATACAGCAAATGTTTTAAAAGAAAGAGACTCAAATCCTGTTCTTACAAGTGAGAATAAATGTTGTTCAACCAAGCCCAAAAGATTTTGATTAGTGTGTAGAATCCTTTCAAGATTTGGATCTATGATGAACAACTTTCATTTTCTACAAAGAAAATTAGAATACTTTATTTGCTTCATTTTAATTGTTTTTATTTTATTTTCTCGGCCCAGAAGTAGTTTTGGCCACCCCAGATCTAACCATAAGTAATAACAAATTGACTTAGGAACCACAAACTGTATTTTACAACGGCCATCACAAAATAATGACCTCGAGTCAATTTAGTAGAAACATCGTGGGTAGATTATGAAACAAAGCGATCCAAAAGCTTGACTCAGATCCACCAGTTCTCAGGAGGAATGGGACAAAGTTTTGGCAAACTGGTGAAAAGTTTGTGGTTGGAAACAATACAGCTTGAAATTCAGTTCCAACAAATACTAAAAAAACACATGAAAACCTCCAGATTAAAAGTCTCTTGAACAGATTTTACCGACAGTCTTAACTCTTCTGACTTTAGACTGAAATGTCATTTTCAGCACACAGAGCATTTCGACTTTAATCTCTTTATTTATAACTTACTGTTAGAAAAATGATAAAACTAGCTAAATTCTTAGTGTTTGACTGGGTGTGTACTCACAGAGTTGTGAGTTGGCTCATGTTGGAGAAGGAGTCATTGGACAGCGAGTTGATTTTATTGTTGCTCAGATCGCTGCGGAGTCAAAGGTCAGGAGGGATCAATACGCATTAATGCAACATGCAAGTCTAAAACAAACTTCTTGGAACAACACACACAAACAAAAGCATAAAGAGTTAAACAACGTTTAAATTATTTTTTGAAAATCCTAGCATCTCCTGAAACAACAAAAAAAATCTAAGTTAACTCAGTTTTTGATCTGATCACATGAAGGATTCTTCTGGATGTTTGTCATATTATCTAAGTAAGAAACGTCTCAGCATTGAATCGAGTCTACAGCCAACAGCTCCACCCAGTGGATGTTTGTGGAAGGACGTTCACGTCTTCCAGCACAAGTTACTGTTAAATAACGGCTGATCCTAAGAATAAACTTCTGACTTTCAGAGTACTGATCCGCTTTAGTTTGAAGGTACACTTCTTGAAAAAAAAAAATGCTAAAAAAAATAAATAAAAATAAAGGTCATATTACATTGGGTCAAAAAAATATATAATATTTTCAAAAAGAGCTGCTGTTTACTCAGTTTGTGCCTCCATAAATGCTGCATCAGCAGAGCAGGATAAAAGTCAGTATTATTTTTGTCAAAGTGAATTCAGACCGTGTTTAGTGAGGTTTCTCTTACACAAGCTGCAGGTACTTGAAGGTGGCTAACTCCTTAGGAACGCTGGTGAACTGGTTTCCATCCAGGTACCTAGCAAGAGAAAATATTTGTTCTGAAAAACTCTGACTCTGTTCAAACATTTGCATGTTGCTAAAATCCTATTCACATAAATTCAATGAGAGAAATGATGTCAGAAACATTATTCAATCAGGAACTGTAAAAAGTAATGACAAGTTAATAACTGTTAAACTTCTACTCCAACCAATTAAACACTTGAACCGTTTTCATCTGCAGCCTCCTAATGAAACACTGTACTGCATGTGTTTTTCTCGCTTTAACTTTTCAATATATTTTATTCTCAAACCTGCCAATTATCTGTACAATAGATGAACAATAATGTGTGAAGTGATTGATTTAATCAACTTATGGAAGCTGGTTTTAGAGTTATTACTGGAAAATACACCAGGAAACAGGAAATGGACTGAAATCAGACAATTTTCTTCATCAACCCTTCCTGGTGATTGGTCTAGCAGAAAGTCAAAAAAGAATATATTTTTCTGGTCAGTGAACATATCACACATAAGTAATAACACAACAATCATACTGAGAGCTGGTCAGTATCAACCGCTCATAGCAGAAAGGCTTCCTAAATACTGACCCATAAAGATATAAAATCTGTAAGGTCAAAGCCTCACCACTAAATTCTGCTTGGTAAATCACTTTTAACTTTATTATTATTATTATTGATCAGGTTATAGGTCTAAAATGCACCCGATCAAACTTTAAGAGCAGCCATGGATGTAATACTGACCAGACAACTGAGACATTTCTTATTTTCCCACTTGCTTTGTTTCCCCAGAGGTCTTAAAAGGCGTTTGCTCACAGTTCGGTGATGTTACGTGGTAATCCTCTGGGCAGAGCCTGCAGGTGTTTGTTGCTGCAGCGAACCACTGTGTCCATGCAGGAACACTGACTGGGACACTGAGGCCCCGCTACGCAGCTCCTGTCCTCCAGCACTGAACCTGGACACACAAAGAACAATTTCACTTTGGAGTCACTCAGTTTAAATTATTCACATTGCATTTGCTAGGGATGTAAGCTAAAAAAAATATCCAAAAGGTCATTGAAATTTGCCACTTTGTTTCATTAAAAAATACGTTAAATTTCTTGCTGAGCAAATAAAACAAAACACAGTATTTTGTTTTTATAAGCTGGAAAACAAGATTCCCCCTGAGTTATTTCAACTTTAGTATTCTGGCCCATTTTGCAGAAAGTTTGGACACCACTGACCTTAGCTAATTCATTTCGATCTAGTAAACAATTAATTGTTTTCATCTCTAATATTCTCTGATATTTCTCTCCACATTTCAGCGAGTATTAAGAGAAACTACCATCCTCGCAGCGGAAATCAGGGACCGCTACGTCCTGCAGAGGAATCCCTCGCAGGAAAGCCGGGCTCTGGCACCGAGGGTTCCCCGTCACGATCCGGCGGCTCCGGAGCCACGCCCCGAACCAGGACAGGTGGCAGTCGCAGGTAAAGGGGTTGGCCAGCAGGTTTCTGACACACAGCAGACAAACCATGAGGGAGGGAATAACATGCAAGGCGAGACACACACTTTGATGCACAAGAGTCACTGACAGAGTGGAGAGGTTGGGCAGAGTGTCGAAGGCTCCAGGCAGGATGGTGGTGAGCTGGTTGTCGTAGAGGGAGAGCAGCCTGACGTTGGGCAGGCCTGTGAAGCTGCTGTTATGGATGCAGCTGATCCTGTTGTTCCTCAGCATCCTATACACACACACACACACACACACACACACACACACACATCCAAAAATACAAACAGTACCTATTAAACTCCAACATCTGGTACAATCATTTTCTAAAAGATGAATTATGAATATCAGTTTACAGTTTTACAGTGTGTTACTCTTGTCTGGGTTCTTTCTTTTTATGTGGCTGAAGAGACTAAAGATTCATAATATATTTGTAAAGAGAGTAAAGGAAAATCAAAGGATAAATAAAGGACATGAGTATTCGGGTCATACTAGGGTCATAGGGTCATATTAATAAAAAATAAAAAATAAAAATAATAAAATTATGAGAATAAAGTCATAATAATGCTAGAATAAAGTTGTAATTAAATCAGAATATGAGAATAAAGTTGTAGTATTATGAGAATACAGTCATATGAGAATAAATATGAGAATAAACTTGTACAAAAATAAAGTCGTAGGAGAATAAAGTTGTAATAAAATGAGAATAATCCAATAAATCATGAGAATAAAATCGTACAGGACATTCTTTTTCACTTTTAATGCATAAACTTTATCAACAAAATTTAAATTTCCTCTAAATGCCAGCAGCATTTAGAGGAAATGCTGCTGGCAGTCGTATTAAACCTGCCGCCAGGTGGCGCTGTTTGAATATTTAAGGTTTATAGCAGGACATGCAGAGGTTAAGACTCTTGTTCTTTCAACAACATAACTTTTTATGTTTTGGAAAATGCTGCAGCTGCATTTTGCAGCCTAAAAAATAGTCAAACTCGTCATCCACACACGTAAGAGCAGAGTTTTAAAAGATTAAAAGAAAAACCTCCTTGCAACTTAATAAATTTTGATATAAACAAGACAATAAGTGAGATACTATTTACTGTTCATATGACGGATTTATTCTATAAATCAAAATGTTACATTAACAACAATTTTTAAACATTAATTGGCAAGAAAAGATAAAATCAATTTTAAACACATATGGTTGCTGCTGTTGTTTACTCAGTTTTGTAGTAAAGAGACTTTGTTTGAGTCCTTGTGTTTTTGTTCATGCGGTGAGTTTTCTCTTTAACAAAGAGTTTAAGGTGTTGTTATATTTATTTACATTTATTTAAAAAATACTGTGAAAATCGATTGTGACATGTAAACAAATTTATATCTGATTTAAAAGTAACTTTTTGTCTTTGAGTCCAAATTGTTTGAAACATGTTGAATTCCTGTAACGTCTGTAATGACTTGAAAAATGATTAAAAACCAATGAAAACATCAGTTGGCTTGTTGGTACAGAATAAAACAAACAAGAAAAAACAAGTTTTCCTCATTTTCATGACAAAACTTTAAGAAAAGTATCTATATCACAATCAGATTATCTTAACTTCTCTAGTTATTTGATGTACAAAATGCAGGGCTTAATAGAAACACACAGGATGTTTAGCTGGTCTACATGAATAACCACATCATTTCCACATTTAAATGCTAATAAAACTACTGGATTTTGAACTCACAGCATGCGCAGCCCCTCCATGCCTCTGAACATGCTCCCTCGCACCGACTCCAGGTGGTTGGCTGTCAGGTGAAGTTCCCCCACTGACGAGGCGCCCTCAAACGCACCGTCCTCGATCTCCGAAATCTTGTTGTTGCTCAGGTTACTAAAAGGAAAAAGCAAAAAATAAATAAAGCTTTTTGCCATGTGGGTGAAAATTGTTGACTCCAAAAAAATTTAAAAAATAAATAAAATCAATCAAATATTTATTGTTGATTCAAAACTTGAAAGAAACTTTTACAGTAGTCTGCTAGGGCCACTGAAGGTAGAAAAAAAATGAGTAAATTTCTGCAAAAAAGTCAGAAAATTTTGTGATAGATCTTCCAATTTTCCAAAAATTTCAAAAAGAAAATTTAAAAGAAAATTTTTGGCATTTGGCACTTACATTTTCTTTAGATGAGAAAGACCCTTGAAGGCGCCGGTGGCCTCCAGCATAGACAGGTCATTGTTGTTAAGACGCCTGGAGAAATTATAGGAGACATAAAGATGGAGACGAATTCATTAATATCGAATCCAACAAAAAGACCGATTCAGATGTTTGGACCTGCATCAATGTGTCTTAATGCAGCTGTAATGTTTTATCAGTGTGGAAATGAAGGATTTTTCTCACTGTCTCATGAAATCAGGCTAAACCTTTCCTGATTTTTGTCACTTTTCTTTTTGAATAGTGAGTTAGATGTCTTAGACAAAGTTTAAAGTTTTCTTCAAATTCATAAGTTAAATAATTTTATGACTAATTTGGTGGTATTCTGACGGTCATTGTCCATTTAGAAGATCCATTTGTGCTCAAAATGTTTCCACGTTATTTGACATTCCTATGCAAATGTGGTCATTTTTACCAAACACTTCAAATCTATTTTTATCTTTATCTGACATGTATCCACAAATTAAGATTTTTATTGTCAAAAATAAGCTGGACCCAAACGGAAGTACAAAAATGTGCAAAAAAGTTAATTTGCATGATAGGTCCCCTTTTAGTGTGGAGGGTGAACCTAAAAGTTACTGTGACAGGACGTAGTGTCTGTGTAATTTTGCACATGAGCGTGACTCACAGCTCTTCGGTGGAGGGCAGCAGGTGCTCTGGGAACTTGGTGAGGCGCAGATTGGAGCAGTCCACCACATTGGCCTCACAGCGACATTTAGCAGGACATACAGGCTTACTGTTACAATCGTAGCTCAGGCGTCGATCTTCAGTGCCTGCATGCAAACACAGGATGCAAATGTCTCCTATTGTTTCTGTGACTGCAAAAATAAAGCTAAAGAAAAAACATATTCACCTGGGATGTGGTACTGCTCCTTGGCTGTAAAGAAAAACAATCAAAGAGAAATATGTCAATCAATAAATATGCTTACTTTAGTATAATTTCTGAATGAAAAACAAACCAATGTTTAAACCCAAAATTCACCAGACAAAGACACACACCTGCAGATTTTGTTAAAGTTTCATAAGTTTATAATTAAACAAAACTGCTTTGGAAAAATTTCTTTTGCCTGATTTTATTTTATTTATTTTTTTTTATTTTTATTTTCGTCCGTACAAAAGCCAAAATTTCCTCTTAACTTTATATTTTGTTTTGCCTGATTTTTAAATATTAAATTATTAATTTACTCAGACTTATTACCAAATACTTTTTTTACTATTGAGTAATTTCTTAGACGACTACTTTTTTACTTTTACTTGAGTAAATATATGTTAGTGTTACTCTTCCTCAGTATAATTTTTGTGCACTCTACCCACCTCTTCTGTTCATACTTTCAAAACAATAATTATCAACTGAATGGCCGGTAGAGACTCACCGGAGCATCTGAACTTATGGCTCTTGATCTGAGCGATGCGTTTGTTGGCGAGCCGACGAGGGCTGGCGCAGCGAGCTCCGCTGGTCTCGATGGGGTTTGAACCCAGGAAGTCAGCCAGCCACTTCACATGACAGTCACAGACAAACGGGTTCTGGGCCAGGTGGCTGAGAAGACATCACAAAACGGCAACCCGATCAAACACTAGCTTCTCTTCTGGATTGTCCACATTCGGTGGTCGCCATGGCAACTCGGCCGTCTCCAGACCAGATCAAACTCGACGTCACGTTGCGTCAGCAGCCAAGCTACTGCGCATGTCGCCTTCAGAATGCAGGCAAGAATACATAATTCTACCTTTTTAACTATGTACAGGTTGGCTAACAAAATAATTTACAACTCGTAGCCAGCGCAGATCACCTTACGGGCGCAGGCTGTTTTGAGAGATTTTACTTTTAGCACACTGCCTCCCGTTCAACGGCATTTTTAATTTCCGAAGGCGTAGTTTATTACTTGCCTTGATGGAAGCAACTACATCCTCATATTCCCTCTAATTATTGCATTTTATTTGTCCTATTCTGACGCCCTTATTGCTCACCATATATATATATATATATATATATATATATATATATGTTCGTCTTATTTAGGGGACTCTACGTATATCATATTATCGTGAACAAATAGCTAATATTATTTAGTTTTGGTCATCTTCTCTCGTCAATTATCAACTCACCTGTAATTAATGTCAATTTGGTAAAGTAACTTACAATTACACTGCCATAAACATTTGTAGTATACTGACAACATGCTAGCTAATGCTAAAACAGCAAGACGAAAGCGGGTAACCATGGTAACCAGTGAGCCCGGTGTTCCAGCGCTTTCTGTAGCCAAGTTGCGCGCGCATCCGCTGCGTTTACAACTAAAAATTCCCTCTAAAGCCCAAACAGAAACGTGCTTATTTCTTTACTCACAGTGTCTGGATGCTGTGCAGTGAGCTAAAGGTTCCCTTAGCCAGACTTTGGATCTTATTGTCGTACAGAGAAAGAAGGGCAAGGTTTTCCAGGTCTTTGAACGCTGCTGCACGGATACAGTGGATTTTATTTGCATTCAGCAATCTGCAGGATGTTAAGAAACCAGGATCAGAAAAGAATAAATCACAGGTTCACTGACATCATCATCTGACTGCTAAGGCATATCAGGGGAACTGTAGATAGGAGAAAAGGAAGAGTAAATTTCCACCAAAACTCAGAAAATTTTCAAAGGTCAAATATTTTCAACTTTTGAAACTCAGAAATGTCCATGTTTTGTTAAGAACATTTCATAGAATAATCTGAAAATTTCTGATTTTTTTTTCTGGCAAATTTTAAACTAAACTCACAAATTTATGTGTCTTTTCTGGAAAAATTCTGAGATTACTCTCAAAATTTCTGAGTATTTTGGCAGAAATTTACCCTTTTTTTCTATATACAATGGCCCTAATATGGTGATGTATCTGACAAGTGTGGGTTTCAAACAGATATCTTTTTTTCTTTTTTTTTCACAAAAAGCCTAAATTTTTTAAGCCTAAATTGTCAACTTCTTGTGACCCCCATTTGGGAATCCCTACAGAACAATTAAGGCTATTTGTACCACACAAAATCACCACAAGAGACCAGAGGGGGAGTTACTGGCATGTTTTCTTGGACCAATTCTTCCATTTTCTTATTCCTCAAACAAAGATGAAGCCATAATGAAAATAAACACTTTCAATGCATTAAAAATAAATAAAACATTACAATTCACCACTACTTTAGAAGTAATGTTAAGCTATGGAAACTATGACACAGTGTTAGGGCCACACTAAAGAAAAATAAAAAACAAGAACAAAGTCATAAAATTATGACTCTAAAGTCATAATATTACAAAAAGAAACTCAAAATATGAGAATAAAGTACAATAAAGTTGTATGAGAATAAAGTCAAAATTATACAAGCATAAAGTTATAATAGTGTGAGAAAAAATCATATTACAAAAATAAAGTTGTATAAGAATAAAGTCATAAAATTACAAAAATAAAGTTGTAATTTTACAACTTTCTTTTCTTAACACTATAAAGTTGTTCTTGGGTTATTTCGACTTTATTCTTGTAATATTATTATTCTCAGTTGTTTTTTTAGTGTGGCCCTAATACTTCATTAATCAAAACTGATTTACGGTTAACAGCTTGGAATAAAAACATATAAAGACATGTTTTATTTTCAATATTTTGAATGAAAGTCGCTTCTACTAAGCTAGAAAATCTAACATAAAATTAACTTATGATGCAAAACTTAGATGTCATCCCAGTTTTAACAGAAATAAATGTGAGTTTTTTCAGACTTACAGCAGCTCCAGAGAAACCAAGCCATCGAATACTCCACTGGGCAGCTCAGTGATTTTATTCCCATACAGAACCCTGCAGACAAGAAACAGCAGGATCACCCCGGATGCTTTTACTGCTGTTACTGATGCATTACTTTGATAAAACCACACACTTTATTGTACAGATACATGTTTACAAAAAAGCCATAAGAAGGCAGAAAACAGAGCTATGAAAGAACAGAATGTCTGAGTTCAGTTATCCCGCAAGTTTAGATGCATTCCTTCACAAACACACCTGAATCTAACGAATGATTTGTTACCAAACCTCTGTGGAGCTAAATCACAGTGGAGTGCGTCGATCTTACATTAATTTATCTTATACACACATGATCAAAATATGTTTTGATGTTACAACATAAATGTGTGATGTTGTAACATAATGTTAAAACATTATTTGTTTTAACTTTCTTGATGCTGATTTGCTAAGAAGATATTGCTTGTACAAATAACGATATGAATAACCTGGCTGGTTCCACAAATACCTGCACTATATTTTAAAAAAAGTCTCAAATTAACGCTACAGTACTGGCAACTGTTACTGAATTTTAACGTATAAATATGGCATAAATACGTACAAATTCTGGCAACCACAGCTAGGTATTTTACTGTAAATTATGGTAATTTATGTTAAAATGTTACTGTATAATCTGTATCGTAAGACCTGTATATGGTAAAATATATCCGTAAAATTATTTCATACCATATAAAATAATCCAGATTTTAAATGGTATTTTATATTTTAACATATAAAATTCAGATAATCACAGATTATGTATGGCAAAATCCGTATTTATCCAAATTTTACCATATAAAAACTAGATTTATGGTAATTTACAGTAGCTGCGGTTACAAGTGGTTTCTGGATGGTAAGTTAACTTGTCTTTTCCAGTAGTCATTGTTAATCACATACAGAGGTAAAACCAGCTGACCAAACCCTGCTGGAGCTCTGCCAGGGTTGCTAGGTAACGGTTGCTAGATATCGGGCTGGGCTTTACTGGGGTTGCTAGGTGAGGGGCAGAGCCTGCTGAATTGTGACGTTATATTCACTCCTCTATAACCTGTCACTGTAACAGCCTATACATATATATGCTTGTTACTTTCAGTGGAAGGAAAAATAAGACATTTAAAAAAATAAATAAATAAAATAGTGAGAGGAAGCAAAGGAAACTCACAGTGAATTGAGCGCTCGGAGGCCATGAAATGCATCAGGAGCAATCTCAGATATCTGATTGTTGCTCAGGTCTCTGTGCAGGAAACAGATCAGAAACTATATATTCATCACAGATGTAAATGGAAAATACATTCATTCCCCTTCCTTTGATTCAAAGCTTCAGTTATTTATTTACTTGAATCTCCAGCTTGATCTTCACCACCACATTCTGATATTTTAAACATTCAGCTCAACTCACATTTCTCTTCCCGCCTGTCTGGAAACCTACAAACTCAGAAACTCTCCTACAATATAAACACATGCAGCCAACCATCGTGTTGCCTTCGTGCTCCTGTAAGCCGTAAGCAACGCTGCAGAACATTTTGGAACTGAATTGTAACATAAAACATGCACAGGACTGCAAATCATTCCTGCACATCTAGAATTAAATTCTCCACACTATGTCACCATATTGAGCCATTGAGTATCAACATGGCTGATTTAGCACGTTAGCATTAGCTTCCACTAAATATCACAATGTTGTAGTGAAGAACTAATGTGAATTATTAGCGCTTCAATGTTAGCGCAGTGATTTTTTTAGTTAACAGTGCCCAACTTGTGGTTTCACTGCAAAAACACAAAACCTTACAAAGCATTTTTGGTTTATTTTCTAGTGCAAATATCTTAGTACACTTGGAGTAAGACAAAGCTTAACTTACAAGTAACTTTTCAGCAACATGTAGGAGCTTTTTTAAATCAATAATTCCTTAATATTGGTGAAAAAGTGCTAGTACCACTGGCAGATTATATAATATGGGAAAATGTGAAATAATTTTACAATGGAACTAACACTTTTTCATCAATATTTAGTTAACTATTTAGTTAAAAAGCTCCTATATATTGCTGAAACGTTACTTGTAAGTTTGTTTTGTCTTATTTCAAGTGTACTAAGATATTCGCATTAGAAACTAGACATAAAATACTTGGTAAGATTTTGTGTTTTTGCAGTGCTGTGTTTATGAATATCACACTTTGCTTTTTGAATAGACACTGAAACAAAATGGGGCAGAAAAAGACACAAAAGATGTGCAAAAAACAGCCCAAGGTCAGTGCAACATAATGTTTGTCAGTAAAGGAAATGTCTGACATCAAGTAATCATTGAAATAAAGAGAACAGATTGTCTTAGCTGCAGTAACCTGTATGAAGGTAAAACAAAGTGGTGATAAAAAGGCTGTAACTCACATGCGGTGGAGCTTCTTGTAGGAGGTGAACGCACCAGGAGGAACTGACTTGATGCCGTTCTGCTCCAGACGACTGCAGGAAAATAAAAGACAAAATGAGACACAAAGATTAGTTGGTTTTTATTTTCATTTACACATTACTTGATTCACTTTTAGTGTCGAAATACAAAAAATTTTATGTTAGAATAAGGCATAGTTTTATATCTAAAGTATGCAAAAACACAAAATCATATCGAGTATTTTTGATCTAGTTTCTAGTGCAAATATTTTAGTACAGTTAAAATAAGACATTTTGCTTTCTTTCTATTAATCAAAGATGTAAGGAGCAGTAGATCTTACATCTCCGTCATGGCCTCCGGCAGGTGGGCAGGTATGGCAGTGAGGCCCCTTCCTCTGCAGTTCACAATGTTGTTGCTGCAGGAACACATCGGAGGACAAGAACCGGACGCCAAACTGCACGGCTGAACGAAGGCGCTGCCGCTGTGGCCTAGCAGGAGGATCAGAGGGAACGGATCTATACTCAGATCTATTACCTGCATTTCTATGCAACAACACCTGCCACCTGAACAGAGTTCCCAAAAACTGTACTAAATTAAGAGCAGCACTACTTCAACATATTTTTACTCAAGAAAAAGAAAAAAAAAAAAAAAAAAAAAATAGCAAGAAGTAAAAGAGTGTTTGGTAAAACGTCGACTCAAGTGCTGAGCAACTGATCAAATTATCAATCATTTAATATTTAAAAATTACATAAACAGGCAGATCAAAATTTAAAGTTAAGTGGAAATTTTGGAATTTTAAAGACCAAAATGACAATAAATTATATTAGTAACAAAAATAACAAATTAAGACAAAAGAATGTTTTGGGTTTTTTTCTAAAAGAGTTTCTTTCGATAAAAACTTTAACAAAAACTGCAGGTCTGTGTCTGGTGAATTTTTGATTAAAACATGTTTGTTTCTCATCCAGTGGGTAAAAATTTCAGAAATTTTACTCAAGTAAGAGAAGAAATACTTTATAATAAAATTACTCAAGTAAAAATAAAAAGTACAACATTGTAAAAATAAAAAAGTAAATTTTTTCCAAAAATTACTCAAGTGTCACTGCAAATACACAAAATCTTACCAAGTAGTTTAGTCTAGTTTCTAGTGAAAACACTCGAAATAAGACAATATTCTTCTCAGCAAGATTTATGAGCTTGTTTTAGGTCAATAATTCCTTAATATTGATGAAAAAGTTCTAGTTCCACCGGTAGATTATTTCACTTATACCAAGACATTACTCCCATTTTTGTAGTGAAATAATCTGCCAGTGAAACTAGAACCTTTTCATCAATATTAAGGATTTTTTTTACTTAACACAAGCTCATATATCTTGCTGAGAACTCTCTTGAGTTATTGTAAGACATTTACACTAGAAACTGGACCAGAAATACTTGGTAAGCTTTTCTGTTTTTGCAGTGTAAATGTAACTAGTTACTCCCCAACTCTGCACCTGAGCAGGCGAAGTCACTCTTGCGCAGCTCTGCGAGGTTGAGCCCCCGCAGAGCCGGAGGGGAACTGCACTGCGTGTAGAGGCCCAGCGCAGACCGCTGCCGTAGCCATGGCGACAGCCAGGCCAGGTGACAGTCACAGCGCAGCGCGTTGGAGTGGAGCCGGCTGGTGGGGGGAAGCAGAGAAAGAGAGAAAATGGTTCCCCGATAACGACATGCCAGAGGCAGGAGTGGCATACTTACAAGGTTCGCAGTTTGGGCATGTGGTTGAAACTGGAGACTGGGATGCTGCTGATGTTGTTGTTGTTCATCGTGCTGGAGGGGACAAATAGAGATAGCAACAAGGAAAAAGGTCAGAGGATGTGAGGAAACAAATGAGGAGGAAGAGAAACACGAGGAAACAGTAACAGAAGATATGCCGTTATGATCTGATTTAATACTACAACACTGCAAAAACAGCAAATCTACCAAGTATTTTTTGTCTAGTTTCTATTGTAAATATCTCAGTACATTTGTAATAAGACAAAACTAACTTAAAACATTTCAGCAAGATGAAGTAGCTTACTTTAAGTCAATAAGTCCTTAAAATTGATGAAAAAGTTCAGCTGGCAGATTATTTCACTTGTAACATGTAAATTGTCTTAAAATAATTTGTCAATGGAACTAAAACTTATCAATATTGAGGAATTATTGACTTTAAATAAGCTCCTTTATCTTTCTGAAAAGTTACTTATAACTTAGTTCTGTCTTATTTCAAGTGTTCTAAGAAATTTGAACTAAAAACTAGACATTAAAATCTTAGTTTTATGTGTTTTTGAAGTGAACAAAGAAAAAAAATAAAAGTTACACTGCAAAAACACAGAACCTTACAAAGTATTTTATGTCTATTTTTTAGTACACTTGAAATGAGACAAAATTAACTTACAAGTCACTTTAAGCAAGATGTAGGATATTTAAGTCAATATCCTTAATATTGATGAAAAACTTCTAGTTCCACTTGCAGATTGTTTAACTTAAAACAAGACATTTTTCTCATGTTATAAGTAAAATAATTTGCCACCAATTTCAAGGAATTATTACCTTAAAACACGCTCCTATATCTTGCTGAAAAGTTCGTTTTGTCTTATTTCAAGTGTTCTTCCAGAACAGAAACATTCAAACTCCCAGGTCAGCTTTGGATACGTACAGCACTTCCAGGGACCGCAGAGCTCTGAACGCTCCCTCCTCAATACAGGTGATGTGGTTTTTATCCAGCTGACTGGAAATAAAAGCAGCATCAGTACTGGTCATCATCCTTTTAGCACGAGACAGAATTTTACTGACAGGTTTTTGATGTCTGTGGCTCCTCTGAACGCTCGCCGTGGGATGGCCTGGATGGCATTTTCACTCAGATCCCTGAAACACAGAACCGCCAGAGTCCATGATTGTTTCTGATTTTAATTTCTGGACTCATCGATGTACACCAGTGACAATCTATCCAAATATTAATGCTTAAAATTATGCGTTTGATGGGTGTAAATGTGAGGAACGCTGAAAAAACACAACATATTAGCAAGTGTTTTTATCTGGTTTCCAGTGGAAATATTTTAGTTCACTTAAAATAAGAAAACTAACTTATAAGTAAGTTTTAAGCAACACTAGGAGCTTGTTTTAGTAAATAATGGCATTTAACAAATAAAGTTATGAACAAAATAAAATAAAATCATGGGCATAATTTGTCTGAATAGTATGTCTTCTGTACTTTTTATTTAATTTAATATTTTATTATTATTTTATTGATTATTCTTTTATGTGATTTGGACTTTGAGTCTGAAATAAAATCTATAAAATTACATATATATGAGCCGTCATACAACAAATTGTTATGAAGGTTCATTTTCTTTGTTACAATAAATTAACAAATCGAATTACAATAATGTAATTTTTTTTTTCTGGGACATAAATCTGCAAATCATTTGCCCAGTGAAATAACATGCAGATTATTTCACTTGTATCAATATTTTTCTAATATTATAGGTGAAATAAAACTAATTTGCAATTGTTGCCATTCTAAATATTTATATATAAATAGTATAATTTTTATTTTTGTATCAAATTGAAGGACAGACTTCAGTGTTGATGCAAAAATACTTAAGAGTTTTTTGCTGCTGCTGTTTTTCTTGATGATTATTGGACTTTTATTTTCTTGTTTGAACAATAATGTAATTTTATTTTTAAGACAACAGTCTTTAGCTGTCACACTAAACCGGTTTGAGTCATATCTGTTTTTTAATAATTACTTAATATTAAACCTTCTAGAAACAGTTTATTAATAAAATAGGGATTTATTTAAAAACAGATGAGAGATAAGACAGATAAATAAAGCTTAACCTCGGTCATAAATTAACAGGGTTCCTGGCACTTAAAGTTCAGTAGGGTCAGGAACATAAAGCAACCGGAGGACGACAGATATACAGCGTGGGAGCATGTCTGCAACCAGGAGAGAGCGACTTGTAGGGCGTGGTGGTGGTGAGTGATGCAGGTTGTGGAAATATAAATTTCACAGATGGTTCAGCATCATATTTCACATAACCTGGAGCTGGATGGAATTAAATATGAGTCTGTTTTAAGAAGAAACAAGAAAATAAACAGAGAAAATCAGAGTTTTTAAAATTCCTGTCTTAGTTTATTAGCACTAATCCAGTTTGGTGGAACTGGACATAATAAGGACTTTAATATATAAGAATAAAATATGAAAAAAATGTAAAAAGAGGGAGGGATGGATGGATGGATGGATGGATGGATG